AGACAGGAGTACAGAAGTGGAGACAAGGTATGAAGTTGAGAGCTGACATGTTTTCTGCTTTGGAACATTGGGAAGATTGTGGTTCCATTTTCTGGTTTGGTAACATTAGAGGAAGGGCCAGATTAAACAGAAAGATGAAGAACTTGTTCCAAACATTTTGAGTTTTAGTTACATACTTTTGAGTTATCAAGCTAAAGATGCTCATTAGGAAGGTGAAGACTAGGCCTGCATTTAATTAAAGAGATTTGGATTGTAACTAAAAAAATTTGAGGGGGGACATTGGAGTAGACAAGATCATTTGGGATCTCTTTAAAGATGTTTTTGCTCTAGGAAAGGCAAGGAGTAGGCTATCAATCAAGGGTAACATACACACACACACACACACACACACATATGGTAAAGAAAGGAAAGGCTTGAAAATATTTGTGAAGTGATGGGGAAAAGGAAGACATGTTGAAATTACAGGAAAGGGTATTGAAATAACAGAGAGATCACTCAGGGGAGCACTGAAGTTGTGAGTCCATAGTGGGATGCCTAGCTTCTGAGATGGAGGGTCAGTGATATATGTCCAGGCATTAGGGGTAGAAATGAAGTTTGGGAAGAGTCCATACTTGATAGCCTTACAGCCTTCACCCTTTTTATTTTGAGATGTGAATGGTGATGTCATTTGGTGATAAGGTAAGGGAGTGAAAGGGAAGCTGGGTTTTAACTTTAAAAGTCCTGTGTCTCAGAAACCCTCTCAGACCTGGATAGACGGAGAGGTTTGGTCACCCCTAAGAGCAGAAGAAAGGGAAAGGGCTTTAGGTAGATGTTAAATGTTAACAGCCACCATGGGAAATGGTAGATGGAGCTGAGCTGAAATGCCAAGCTGGCTGGCTGGCATCCAGGACTTAGATGGAATTGGAGACTAAAAGGCAGCATTTTGTGCATGGTTGTGTGATCTTCTTCAGCAGTGCTTAAACCCTTTGAACGTTTTTCCAGGAAAAAGGTGTGTCATACAGATATGTGTTCCAAACACCTTTTATGAATCAAAATATGTAGTAACAGAATTCTCTTCTCTGGAGCAGAAAAACAGAGGTGAAACTCAATTGCAAGCTTTCCAGAAAAAGAGGCTCCCATTAGGTGTAAGATCTCATTGTCAGTTGTATTCAATAACACCTTTACTTGACATTTGCATATTTGACAAATAGAGTTATAATACTGTACAACATCTTGAAGCAACTCTGAAATGCAAACACATATTTCTAATACTTTTCTCTTCGGAAGGGGGACAAGAAAGAGCAATCATTAGGCAGGATCTTGAAGTACAATGTAGGCAGCTCTTCAGTGTCATCTGTATCCATCTGCCCATTTCCAAGGCATATGAGGTGAGTATTTTCTTAGGTCATTGACTAAATTTTATACCTTTCTACCTTGTATTATTTCACCCATTGTTATTGGTTCTATAAACAAAGAAAAAAATAAATATTTGCCTCTCTAGGTGGTCAGAGAGTAAATGAGGCTATGAGTGTCAATAAATGCATAAAAGTAAACACCTTGAGCTTTGTCTTTTCTTTTTGGAACACGTGTAACTAGATAGCTCACAAATCAATTAAGATGTTTTCCTTCATTTTTATCTTAAAGTGAAGACAAATCAGTGCTTCTGAGTTTGCAAGATGGGGCAGAAAACAAAGCGCAAAGGAGACTCAAAGTGTATGAGTGTGCTTAAAATCTGAAAATCAGTTTGGGGTGAGGAAGAGCAAATCTCTTTTGTTTTTGTCAGTGTGTCCAGATGAAGGCCATGGGTTCCAGGCAGTGGGTGTGTTATGGGCTAGTCCAGTTCCTTCAGAATTCAAATGTTAAAGTGATGAAGGATGTGACTGTTTGTAGAGGGAGTCTTTACAGAGTTTGTTAAGGTTAAATGAAGTCATAAGTGTGGGTCCCACTCCTACTGAAATGGTTTCTTTATAACAAAGAGAACATTTGGGCACACAGAGAGACACCAGGGATGCGTAGACACAGAAGGCAGATGTGAGAAGACTCCGAGAAGACTGTCATCTGAAAACCAAGGACAGAAGCCCCAGGAGAAACCAGAATTATGGGTACCTTGGTATCAAACTTCCAATATCCAAAACTGAGAGCACAACTTTTTGTTTTTAAAGCCATTCACTTTGTGGTACTTTGCTCTTGTAGCCCTTTAAAATGAACACAGAGAGTTTTAGAGTTTGGATCTTTCAACAATCTAAGAAATAGTGGATACACTCATTTAAAAAAACTATAAAACTAACCCAGGAGATATTCACTGAGAAGTTCCTCCATTTGTCTTAGCTTTATTTATCAAATACTTCTGTAGTGCTTATCATTGAGGTGACTTCATTTTGCTTTGTGCTTTGGAATTTTCTGACTCTCATTCATCCACCCCACTCACATCTACAAGACCTCACTCTTTTTTTTTTTGTACTGGGGATTGAACTCAGGTCCTTGTGCTTT